GGCGGCCCACGCCTGTCCTCCCAGCAGCTGGGGAGGCTGAGGCAGGAGGATGGCCAGTTGGAGGCCAGCCTCAGCAGCAGCAAGGGGCTAATAAGCAACTCAGTGAGACCAACACAAAGCAGGTCGAGGGCCCAGAGCTGAGTCCCTGGTGCCTTCTCCAACAGGAAAGAAGGAATCGCCCCTGGACCCCTGCCCAGGAAGGGGCCTCTGTACCAGGGCCACCCGAGGTCCCCCCAGAGTGGGCGGGCGGCTGACCCCTGCAGAAGGAAGCCCCGTCTGCCGGCCTCCTGAGTCCCCAAGGCGGGCGTCCCCAGTCCCACGCATGCACGACCACAGGCCCCTCCCCAGGAAGCCCCGCTGCCCCGCGGGACGGCTCTGCCCGGGCCTGGCCTACCTGGGCGGCAGGTGCGGCCGTCGTCCTGCAGCGCGAAGCCGGGGAAGCAGGCGCAGCGGTAGGAGCCCACCGTGTTGACGCACAGGTGCTGGCACAGCTCCCCGGGCAGCAGCAGGCACTCGTCCTGGTCATCACCGGGCAGGCTGTTGGCCATCTCCGCCTCTGGGCCCAGGGACAGGGCCTCCTGGCTCGCCAGATCTTCTTCTGAAACTGGGGTGCAGGTCAGCGGTCAGGACAGAGCCAGCTCGGGCAGCTCCAGAGATGGTGAGGACAGAGGGAGGGTGGACGGCCGGTGGCTATGGACGCCAGAGAGGAGGGGGAGTGGGGAACGGATGGATGCATGGAGAGAGAGAAATGAAAGGAAGCGGGAACAGTGGCCCACGCCGGTTAACCCAGCAGCTCAGGAAGCTGAGGCAGGAGGATCGCAAGTTGGAGGCCAGCCTCAGCAAAAGTGAAGCCAAGCAGCTCAGCGAGACCCTGTCTCTAAAAAGGGCTGGGGACGGGGCGCAGGGAGGCCTGGGAGTGGGTGAGAGTGGGCAGAGCTGCCCCCTGAGGCTGGGGAGGCCCAGCCCACAGCCCAGGCCTCCGCCCTCCCGCCAGGACCCGGGGCTGGGCCCTGGGAGGACCCCAGACCCCACCTCTGGTGAGCCTGGTCCTCAGCCCAGTGCTCGGCCAGAGCCCTGGGTGGACAGACAGGTGGACAGACAGACAGGTGGACAGACATGCAGGGGGACAGACATGCAGGGGGACAGACATGCAGGGGGACAGACGGATGTGTGGATGGACAGCGGACAGATCTGTGGACAGGTGGACGGACAGACTCATGGATGGATACGTGGATGGACGGACACACAGATTTCTGGATGGACGGACGAGCAGACCAGTGGCCACAGGCGCCCAGGCCTGGCGGGCGTCACCCACCTCTGCGTGGCGCAGCCTCGGGCTCCGGGGGCCGGCGCACCTCGGGCACGAGCGGGTCCTGTCCCTCGCAGCAGGACAGCATGGCGTGGCTGCAGGGGTAGCCCAGGCCCGGGATGGCCTCGCAGGGCTGGCCCTCGGCCCGCACGCGGAGCCCCAGGCCGCAGCAGTCGCAGCATTGCTGGAGGGAGGGGGCCGGCCGTCAGCGCCCGCTGGCCCCCGCGACTGTCACCTCCCCTGGCCTCAGAGCCCGCGGCACAGGCAGGACCCCCAGGGAGGAGCAGGGGGCTTGGAGGAGCTGGCCAACGGGGTCCAGGGTCGAACTTGTCTTCCACCCGCCCACGCCCTCTCCCTCTCCCGGGGCAGGGGCGCCCGTCCCCGGGTCCTGTGGCGCAGGACAGGGTCAGGCTAGTTTTTTGAAATAAGCAGTCCTAGTCGGGCCAGATGCTGGTCTCCCAGGCCCCTGCAGTTCCCCAAGTGTCACCAGGCAGGGCCTTCAGGAGATCTTTTGGGGACTGACTCAGAAGTATCTATTCTTGCTCTCCTTTGAGCACACTTGTGATGGCTGAGGCTTTTGCAGCCATCCTGAACCATGAAGATTGAAGCTCTAAGCTAAGAACAGAAGCCTGGTCCCTAAAGCTGTCGCGTAGCTCTGTGTCATCTCAGGCCGTGGATCCCAGAAAGAAACTTGGTGTCATGGTTTTTAAATCTGTGATGGCGGAGCGGTTGTCACAACAGCCCCAGATGTTCCTGCATTTTCCGACTTTGCAACGTGCTGTTCCAGCTTCTCTTAGTAAGCACGCCAGCGGGGCGCAGTGGCCCACACCCGTGATCCCAGTGGCTCGGGAGGCTGAGGCAGGAGGATTGCAAGTTGGAGGCCAGCCTCAACAACTTAGCAAGACCCTGACTCGAACCTTAGGAATCGTTAAGAAGGACTGGGGTGTGACTCAGCGGACAGCACCCCTGGGCCAGCCCCAGAGCAGGACGGAAGGCAGGCGTTCCCAAGCACCTAGTTGTGCCCATGGACTTGCTTTGGCCAAAAGGTGGGGACAGGGACAGGGACAGTGTCCCAGTCTCAGCCGAGGCCACAGAAGGCTGTGCATGGGAGGAGGAGAGGCCGCAGAGGGCAGCCTCAGATCCAGGCGGGCCCAGGTCGCCTGTGGGCAGCCACCCGAGGCCACCCAGCCAGGACCCGCTGACGGGGCACAGCCAGAGACGGATCCTGCCTGAGCCAAGCCTGGGGCGGCCTGCCGCCCACCAGCGCTGACCGGTGCTGCAGACGCGTGACGTCCACGGACTGGAGACCCGCGTGTCCCGACCCCTGCAAAGTCCCCAGTGGTGACGGCCATCGAGAGGCACGCAGCCCAGAGGCGAGGGGCAGACGGACTCCAGACCTGCCTCGCCGCAGGGCAGGCTCCGATGGAGTGACCCAGAGTGACAAGACCCAGTGGGAATCCTCTGCCCAGTGCCACCTGGAGCCTGAGAGACGGGGCTCTTCTGACTCAGGACCGACACCCTGGTCCTCTGCCCTCACCTCAGGGTCGGTACCAAGCCCATCCTCCTCCTGGCTCGTGTTCAGTGGGCGGCTGACCTCTCCTTCCAGCCTCCCCTGCAGCTAGGCATGGCCCCCAGTCCATCTAAGTAGCAGTACAGAGAACAGAGGGGATCTTCGAGGGCCCAAGGACACAAATGGCACTGTGTCTCACAAGAGCCAAGAGCAAAAGGCACCACATGGTCACTGAAGGGTGGATGGACCAAGAAAATGTAATCCCGGCAGAGAGTGGAGTACTATACAGCCTTTAAAAAGGAAGGGAATTCTGACCTACGCTCTCTCACGGATAAACGCTGAGGTTGGTGAGCCCAGCTCAGGAGGACGGCACCATGAGGCCCGGACACTGGTACAAGGTCCCAGAAAAAGCCAATTCACAGAGAGTAGGATGGGGGCCAGGGACTGGGATGGGCATGGGCTGGTGTTGAGTGGACACAGTCTCAATGTGGGAAGATGGCCACAGGGTCTTTGCACCTGCTGCTCCCTGCCCCCAAAAAGACCCCCACGCCACCTACCACCCCGACTACCGCCCCCAGGCTCACTGCCACATGTCCAGCCCCGAGGCAGCCTGTGCTGAAGAACCGCCCTGTGGACCGACGGCCTATGTGGTCGCTGGTGGGTCTTTCTGGGCGGGGGACAGGTGGCGGGTCCCCCGACTCCAAATGAGCCCCCACCAAGGAGCCCTGCAGAGGGGAGCTGCCCGGCCCTGGAGGACCGTCGGACCCACGCCAGTCCACCCGTGCTGGCCGTCACTGCCCCCGCCCCCGGGCTTGCCTTGTACAGGGAGACGCCACAGGTGTCATTGTCCTCGGCCCCACAGGGCCCGCCCTCCTTGGCCACTAGGACGCCGGCCAGGCAGCTCTTCTCCTTCAGGTAGGACGTGCAGCAGTACTTCTGGGCCGTCCTGCAAGAGAGGTGGCCTCAGCCGCGGCTGGCTCCCGTTCTCCCAGGGACCCTCTGCCGGGGGTCCCCAATTCACAGAAGGAAAGTAGCAGCCGGGCACGGAGGGGTGCACCCTTCATCCCAGGGCTCAGGAGGCTGAGGCAGGAGGATGATGAGTTGGAGGTCAGCCTCAGCCACTCCGTGAGGCCCTGTCTCTAAGTAAGTACCAAAGACACAGAGGGGAGGTGGAGGGTCTCAGAGGAGGGACCTGCCCACGGCTCCGTGGCCCCGCGTCTCCTTGGCTTGAACCCAAAGCCTGGGTCTGTGTCCAGCTGGACTCGTGGCTGCAGGATCCTGACCACGGAGGACCAGGCTGGACGCAGGACACAGGGCCTGCTCTTGGCCGGGCTGGCAGCGAGCTGTGGGGCTCAGCGGGACAGAGCGACCTCTCTGAGCCCTGCCTTCTGTCTGGGAAAAGGAGTCGCTGGAAGAGACGCGGCTTCTCTGCGACCAAGAGCCGGCTGACCTCGCTCCAGGGAGGCTGAGGACGGAGAATCCTGGGGCTGGTTCCACGTCGGGGCTGGAGGGTCCCCCAGGGAGCGGTGTTCCCAGGTGGCCGTCAGCAGCAGGTGACTGGGTCATGGGCACTGACTCAGTGGGCTCAGCCAGCGAAGGTGCCTTTTTTTTGGCCACCAGGATGGAACCTAAGACCCTCGACCCCCAGCCCCAGCCCTCTGTGCACCATTTTAGAGACAGGGTCTCGCTGAGTGGCTGAGGCTGGCCTCCAACTCGTGATCCTCCTGCCTCAGCCTCCCGAGCCGCTGGGATGGCAGGCGTGGGCCAGGGGACTCATCACTGTAGTGGACTCTTGGAAGGAGGTGGACACGCGGGAGGTGGGCCCAGCTGAAGGAGTGGGCCCTGGGGGCTGTGCCCGTGGGACCAGCCCTGGCCCACTGCGACCCTGGCCCCTGGGTACCCGGCTGTGGGCCCCGTGCCACCATGCGCCCGCCAGGTGCCCACCAGGTCGGGACCTCGGAGACCCGAGCCAAGGTCACCCTCCCGTCCCTGCTGCTGTTTCTTCTCTGGCACTTCTGTCACGGCGCCCCCGCAGCCCAGGTCAGGGAGCACCGCCCGCCAGCGGCGTGGAGCAGGGGACGGGGCGGCTCACCTGCAGACGTCGCCCTCCGTGCCCTCGGGGATCCCCGCACACTCGTCCCTGAGGACGGCCCACTGCTGCCCGGCCGCACAGCACGTCTCCACCAGCTCCCGGGTGGACCCTGGGGACGACCAGGACACAGTCACCACGCACAGACCTGTCCCCAGGTGGGGGACACGGTGGCCACTCGCAGCTCGGTGTCACCGTCGTCTCTGCAGATCGGCCTGGGTTGGCTGCCCCCACGGGGTCGCCCGGGCTCAGAGGGGCCGCAGTGACGCTTCCCGGGCCCAGCCCCACGAGTCGTCCCTAGAGCTGTCCCCAAAGGAACCAGCAGGCCACAAAGACCCCGGCTCTCAACCTGAGGGGCAGCAATGGAGGAGCTCAGCGTGAGCACATGCCCGGCACCTGTGAGGCCCAGGCTCCGTCCCCAGCACAGGACGAGATGGACACAAGGTGTGTGCGTGAAGGCCTCGGGTGAGACAACTGGGTGGACCGGCTACTGCCACCTTCGCCGCCTACAGAACCAAGACCTGCATAGCCCAGCGCCACGGACGGAAGGACAGGTGAAGCCACCTCTAAGATCCCTACAGCTGACAAGAAATCACCATGCGTGTGCAGGGACCCACGCCTGTCCTCCCAGGAGCTCGGGAGGCCGAGGTAGGAGGATCCCAAGTTGGAGGCCAGCCTCAGCAACTCAACAAGCAAGACCTAGTCTCTAAGTAAAATCTAAAAAGGGCTGGGGACGGGGCTCAGGGGTTCAGCACCCCTGGGCTCCATCCCTGATACTAAAAGGAAAAGAATGTCACGCGTAGGCTTCGACTATTGAGGTGCCTGTGACCACTGAGGGACCGACGCTGCGAGACAGACGGAAGCAGGTGGGGCCTCGCCCAGGGAAGCGCAGGTTCCCTTCCACAGAACAGCCTCCATCCAGTCCCCACGCACAGAGCTCCAGGGGCCAGACGGTGGGGGATGAGGAATGGGAGACCGTCCCCCGCCCCCACACTACTGCCCCCTCACTCCCAGCCGCCAGTTGGGGTCACCTTGGTGGGA